CTCCAAGTGTATTTGCATTGGTCCAAGCTAAAGACCAGGCTCCCCAAAGACCCATATCCTAGCCTCTTGGAGAGAGAACACGGCACAAGATACAAGAAAAGAAAAGCTTACAGCACCTGGTATTCCCAGGCGGTCTCCCATCCAAGTACTAACCAGGCCCGACCCTGCTTAGCTTCCGAGATCGGACGAGATCGGGCGTGTTCAGGGTGGTATGGCCGTAAGCGATGACACAGGCTCCAAATGAGCTATTTCAACGTGCTCCTGTGTGGTTCTCTCAATTATAATCAGCATTTCACTTTCAATGAACAATGCGTCGCTCAAGAAAACACCCGGATACGCAGTCAAGCTTAGTTTTACAGCCTATCTCTGCAGTCCATCATGCTCCACTCCTTTGCTCCGCTTCATGACAAGATCTCAGTCCTCCCGCTCTTTGTGCTTTTTTGACTCTTTCTTTCATTTATCTTGAAGGCTCATCTCCAAGTGTATTTGCATTGGTCCAAGCTAAAGACCAGGCTCCCCAAAGACCCATATCCTAGCCTCTTGGAGAGAGAACACGGCACAAGATACAAGAAAAGAAAAGCTTACAGCACCTGGTATTCCCAGGCGGTCTCCCATCCAAGTACTAACCAGGCCCGACCCTGCTTAGCTTCCGAGATCGGACGAGATCGGGCGTGTTCAGGGTGGTATGGCCGTAAGCGATGACACAGGCTCCAAATGAGCTATTTGAACGTGCTCCTGTGTGGTTCTCTCAATTATAATCAGCATTTCACTTTCAATGAACAATGCGTCGCTCAAGAAAACACCCGGATACGCAGTCAAGCTTAGTTTTACAGCCTATCTCTGCAGTCCATCATGCTCCACTCCTTTGCTCCGCTTCATGACAAGATCTCAGTCCTCCCGCTCTTTGTGCTTTTTTGACTCTTTCTTTCATTTATCTTGAAGGCTCATCTCCAAGTGTATTTGCATTGGTCCAAGCTAAAGACCAGGCTCCCCAAAGACCCATATCCTAGCCTCTTGGAGAGAGAACACGGCACAAGATACAAGAAAAGAAAAGCTTACAGCACCTGGTATTCCCAGGCGGTCTCCCATCCAAGTACTAACCAGGCCCGACCCTGCTTAGCTTCCGAGATCGGACGAGATCGGGCGTGTTCAGGGTGGTATGGCCGTAAGCGATGACACAGGCTCCAAATGAGCTATTTGAACGTGCTCCTGTGTGGTTCTCTCAATTATAATCAGCATTTCACTTTCAATGAACAATGCGTCGCTCAAGAAAACACCCGGATACGCAGTCAAGCTTAGTTTTACAGCCTATCTCTGCAGTCCATCATGCTCCACTCCTTTGCTCCGCTTCATGACAAGATCTCAGTCCTCCCGCTCTTTGTGCTTTTTTGACTCTTTCTTTCATTTATCTTGAAGGCTCATCTCCAAGTGTATTTGCATTGGTCCAAGCTAAAGACCAGGCTCCCCAAAGACCCATATCCTAGCCTCTTGGAGAGAGAACACGGCACAAGATACAAGAAAAGAAAAGCTTACAGCACCTGGTATTCCCAGGCGGTCTCCCATCCAAGTACTAACCAGGCCCGACCCTGCTTAGCTTCCGAGATCGGACGAGATCGGGCGTGTTCAGGGTGGTATGGCCGTAAGCGATGACACAGGCTCCAAATGAGCTATTTCAACGTGCTCCTGTGTGGTTCTCTCAATTATAATCAGCATTTCACTTTCAATGAACAATGCGTCGCTCAAGAAAACACCCGGATACGCAGTCAAGCTTAGTTTTACAGCCTATCTCTGCAGTCCATCATGCTCCACTCCTTTGCTCCGCTTCATGACAAGATCTCAGTCCTCCCGCTCTTTGTGCTTTTTTGACTCTTTCTTTCATTTATCTTGAAGGCTCATCTCCAAGTGTATTTGCATTGGTCCAAGCTAAAGACCAGGCTCCCCAAAGACCCATATCCTAGCCTCTTGGAGAGAGAACACGGCACAAGATACAAGAAAAGAAAAGCTTACAGCACCTGGTATTCCCAGGCGGTCTCCCATCCAAGTACTAACCAGGCCCGACCCTGCTTAGCTTCCGAGATCGGACGAGATCGGGCGTGTTCAGGGTGGTATGGCCGTAAGCGATGACACAGGCTCCAAATGAGCTATTTCAACGTGCTCCTGTGTGGTTCTCTCAATTATAATCAGCATTTCACTTTCAATGAACAATGCGTCGCTCAAGAAAACACCCGGATACGCAGTCAAGCTTAGTTTTACAGCCTATCTCTGCAGTCCATCATGCTCCACTCCTTTGCTCCGCTTCATGACAAGATCTCAGTCCTCCCGCTCTTTGTGCTTTTTTGACTCTTTCTTTCATTTATCTTGAAGGCTCATCTCCAAGTGTATTTGCATTGGTCCAAGCTAAAGACCAGGCTCCCCAAAGACCCATATCCTAGCCTCTTGGAGAGAGAACACGGCACAAGATACAAGAAAAGAAAAGCTTACAGCACCTGGTATTCCCAGGCGGTCTCCCATCCAAGTACTAACCAGGCCCGACCCTGCTTAGCTTCCGAGATCGGACGAGATCGGGCGTGTTCAGGGTGGTATGGCCGTAAGCGATGACACAGGCTCCAAATGAGCTATTTCAACGTGCTCCTGTGTGGTTCTCTCAATTATAATCAGCATTTCACTTTCAATGAACAATGCGTCGCTCAAGAAAACACCCGGATACGCAGTCAAGCTTAGTTTTACAGCCTATCTCTGCAGTCCATCATGCTCCACTCCTTTGCTCCGCTTCATGACAAGATCTCAGTCCTCCCGCTCTTTGTGCTTTTTTGACTCTTTCTTTCATTTATCTTGAAGGCTCATCTCCAAGTGTATTTGCATTGGTCCAAGCTAAAGACCAGGCTCCCCAAAGACCCATATCCTAGCCTCTTGGAGAGAGAACACGGCACAAGATACAAGAAAAGAAAAGCTTACAGCACCTGGTATTCCCAGGCGGTCTCCCATCCAAGTACTAACCAGGCCCGACCCTGCTTAGCTTCCGAGATCGGACGAGATCGGGCGTGTTCAGGGTGGTATGGCCGTAAGCGATGACACAGGCTCCAAATGAGCTATTTCAACGTGCTCCTGTGTGGTTCTCTCAATTATAATCAGCATTTCACTTTCAATGAACAATGCGTCGCTCAAGAAAACACCCGGATACGCAGTCAAGCTTAGTTTTACAGCCTATCTCTGCAGTCCATCATGCTCCACTCCTTTGCTCCGCTTCATGACAAGATCTCAGTCCTCCCGCTCTTTGTGCTTTTTTGACTCTTTCTTTCATTTATCTTGAAGGCTCATCTCCAAGTGTATTTGCATTGGTCCAAGCTAAAGACCAGGCTCCCCAAAGACCCATATCCTAGCCTCTTGGAGAGAGAACACGGCACAAGATACAAGAAAAGAAAAGCTTACAGCACCTGGTATTCCCAGGCGGTCTCCCATCCAAGTACTAACCAGGCCCGACCCTGCTTAGCTTCCGAGATCGGACGAGATCGGGCGTGTTCAGGGTGGTATGGCCGTAAGCGATGACACAGGCTCCAAATGAGCTATTTCAACGTGCTCCTGTGTGGTTCTCTCAATTATAATCAGCATTTCACTTTCAATGAACAATGCGTCGCTCAAGAAAACACCCGGATACGCAGTCAAGCTTAGTTTTACAGCCTATCTCTGCAGTCCATCATGCTCCACTCCTTTGCTCCGCTTCATGACAAGATCTCAGTCCTCCCGCTCTTTGTGCTTTTTTGACTCTTTCTTTCATTTATCTTGAAGGCTCATCTCCAAGTGTATTTGCATTGGTCCAAGCTAAAGACCAGGCTCCCCAAAGACCCATATCCTAGCCTCTTGGAGAGAGAACACGGCACAAGATACAAGAAAAGAAAAGCTTACAGCACCTGGTATTCCCAGGCGGTCTCCCATCCAAGTACTAACCAGGCCCGACCCTGCTTAGCTTCCGAGATCGGACGAGATCGGGCGTGTTCAGGGTGGTATGGCCGTAAGCGATGACACAGGCTCCAAATGAGCTATTTCAACGTGCTCCTGTGTGGTTCTCTCAATTATAATCAGCATTTCACTTTCAATGAACAATGCGTCGCTCAAGAAAACACCCGGATACGCAGTCAAGCTTAGTTTTACAGCCTATCTCTGCAGTCCATCATGCTCCACTCCTTTGCTCCGCTTCATGACAAGATCTCAGTCCTCCCGCTCTTTGTGCTTTTTTGACTCTTTCTTTCATTTATCTTGAAGGCTCATCTCCAAGTGTATTTGCATTGGTCCAAGCTAAAGACCAGGCTCCCCAAAGACCCATATCCTAGCCTCTTGGAGAGAGAACACGGCACAAGATACAAGAAAAGAAAAGCTTACAGCACCTGGTATTCCCAGGCGGTCTCCCATCCAAGTACTAACCAGGCCCGACCCTGCTTAGCTTCCGAGATCGGACGAGATCGGGCGTGTTCAGGGTGGTATGGCCGTAAGCGATGACACAGGCTCCAAATGAGCTATTTCAACGTGCTCCTGTGTGGTTCTCTCAATTATAATCAGCATTTCACTTTCAATGAACAATGCGTCGCTCAAGAAAACACCCGGATACGCAGTCA